CTCTGGAGTAGTCTGGATTATAGTCATGCAGCACTTAGTCCAGTTCTCTCTCTGTCTTTCTTGTTAAAGTTTCCCCTACTGGTAGCCCAGTGTGGTGGCACATGTTTGTGGTCCTAACTCTAAAGGAAACCAAGGCAGGAGGATTATACGCTTGAAGACAGCCTGGGCAGTTTACCAAAATCCAGTCTAAAAATTCAACATTTTTAAAGAGCTGAGGATGTAACTCAGTGGTAAGAGTACTTGCCTAGCATCTATCCAGCTAGAAGGAGTGAATCTAAGGAAATGCTGCTGTCTGATTTTCAAACATCCCCATTTCCAGTCTGACCACTCACCTATATGTCTGGTAGTGCTAAACCTTTGGAGAGACCTTTGGTAAGAACCAGCTTGCTTTATTTTGGTTCAGCACCCCACCTCCCACCTTCTGATTTCTTAATCTACTAAAGTCCTGCTCATCTAACTAAGGGATAATAACATTAACTTGGTGCTTCTGGGGTCCCTTTATTCCCATTCATGCTCTGTCTGTCTCTGTCTCTCTGTCTCTCTGTTTTTCTCTGTCTCTGTCCCTGTCCTTGTCCCTCTCCCCCTCCTTCTCCCCCCCCTCGTCCCCCTCCCCCTCCCTCTCCCTCTCATTGGTACTGTGGATTGAACCCAGAACCTTCACATTTAGCTATATCCCCAGCTCTTTTCTGTTTGGTGGACAAGCTGTCAGTAAGTTGATAAGTTGTTCAGTTGGACTTGCAGTTTTCCCACCTCAGCCTCCCGGAGTGCTAAGACTGTAGATGCACACAACCATGCCCAGCTCCATGTGATTGATTCTCTTAGAAAGCCCTCCCTCCATCACTGTCTTTGGGGAAGGTGATCATCTTCTTAACTAAAAAGGGGAGGAAAAGGCTCCTCACCAGCGCTTGACACCATGGCCAGCGACTCTGAGCCCCTTGGCCCTTCTTATAAAGCCCTGGGTATGAGAAGAACTAGAACTGTGGTAAAGGGGTCACAAATGGTGAGGGACTGGTTCTCCTGCTAAAAGAACCATAGGGCAGGGTCCGGGCCCAGTTCTTATCTCACTGGCAGTTCTGCTTAGAAGGTTGGATTTACTTAGCATTTCTACCATTAGCACTTTCATTGTCGTTGAAGGAATAGTTATACTCAAAAGCAACACACTACCCCATTATATAGGTGTATTCAAATGTGTTGGACCTAATTCTCCCTATTGTGATACTAGAAGCAGTTGTTACAGTGACCTTTCCTCTAATAGTTAACCTCATTTCTTCTGTGTAAATAATAATAATAATAATAATTATTATTATTATTATTATTATTATTATTTGAGGCAGGGTCTCACTACATAGCCCAGGCTGGCCTCAAACTCATGGTGATTCTCTTGCCTTCCAGTGCTGGGATCACAGGTTTAGGTCACATCCAGCTACCATAATTCTTTCTATGGGTGATACTCCTGTGCATGAAAACCTGGGTATTACAATATACACATTTTTAGTGCTTTTGTTACAGATTATCTGGTTGTCCTGAAACATCCCAGTTTTGTACTCCTCTCAGCAGCATATGAGAGTGTCACCACACCCAGGCTTGTATGTGGTGTATAATCTTTTTCCTTGTCTCTGCCAGATATTATGAAATTTGCTGGTACAAGTCTTTTGCTAGTTTTTCTGTTGGCAAAGTCAACTTTTTAATCTATTGGAGTGTTTTTATATACTAATGGTGTTAGTCACATGCTGTAAATATTGCTACTGTTTCAGTTTAATATTGTCCTATTTACTTTAATATTTTGTTATTCGTAAAAGTATATTTTTATATATTCAGATTGAATGACTTAATTTTCTACGTCTCAACATTCCCTGCTATGAAAGAAGATAATGGTGTATAGTCTAAGGTGAGGATGGTATAGGTAAATTAATTGCTACATAATAGTTGTTCAACAGATGGTAACTTTTTGTTATTCTTTGTATGATACTGAAGAGTTCAGAATCACCTAAAAATTTTACTAGTGGGCTGGGATAGCGCAGTGGTCTAAGCACCTACCTGGCAAGTGCAAGAACTGGAGTTCAATTCTGGTACTGCATGCCATACTGCATGCCGTGTGGGCCCTGAAACCCCAGGCGTTCTGAGCCGACCATTAAAACCGGGTGTGGTGGAGCACACCTGTAATCCCAGCACTGGGGTGGCTGAGATGGGAGGATCACTACGAGTCCGAGTTGCATAGCAAGACCCTATACCAAATAAATAAATAATAATAATTATTATTTTAAAATTTACTAGTAATACCAAAGACAAAGGTATTTATGCTGAGTATGAAATACATTCAAATAAAACTCAAACTTTTAGGTAATTTTAAATTTTTCTCTTTACTTCTCACCCTTAAAAATGGGGGCTGGGGAGATGGCTCAGTAGAATAAGCGCTTGCCTGGTGAGTGCAGGGGCCTGAGTTCAATCCCCAGTTCAAAAAAAAAAAAATGTTTAATGAATTCTAGGCTGGGGATGTAGCTCAGTGTAAGAGGACTTGCCTAGTGTGCACAAGCCCCTGGATCAATGTCCAGTGTCACAATAAATAAATATTAATAATGGCAAAGTCCAGTCTTCTTAAGTAGGAAAACCTGAAGTCTGAGTGGAATGTGACAAAACTAGTGTTTTCTCACAAACTCTTTGTTAAGGAAATATATATATATATATATATATATATATATATATATATATATTTGTGGTATGAATTTCTTCCATAACATCCTTATTTATTTATTTCCTATCAATTTAGATGCATGTACAATAATAGGCAAAGGCATACACTAGCCACTCCTACTTTTTAGCTTAGGAAGATGAGGTTCCTGTTCTCCATCCAGTTTGGTAGACTTGAATCCCTGAGCCAAGTCCAAGTTGGCTTCGATAAAGATGATGACAATTTTAAGTTACATAGAATGCTCTTATAAAAGATTTTTATTTTTAGGCCACTGAACACCAACACATTTCTGTATTTTATAACTTCTGAGTATATATTTGTAATAGTTACTAGAATTCCTATGACACTATTGTAATAAAAATAATTGTATAATTTCATATACAATTTTGTTGCATGTGATATTGTGTATAATCCTTTCACAGGTGGCTTAGAGGATGCAGTTTAAGTATGATGAGTTGAGCCACATGTTAATGATGTGTTACACTAGAGCATAGGACTAAGAAACAAGTCATCACCAATGAAGCAAAGGAGCAATGATCTATGTGCCAAATATGTTCTAGAGACTTAACTTTCACCTCTTTGGGTTAATCTTAAGAGCTTGGTTCTCCCTGTCTAGTGCGTAAAATGCCTGCATAGCTATACTAGGGAGAAGTTGACTTTCTGAAAGCCAGTGCACATCCTGGGTGACTAGCATTTCTCTCTTTCTCTTTCTCTCTTTCTCCCTCTCTTTTCTCCCTCTCTGTTTTTTCTCCTTTACTGAGGATTGAATCCTAGTCTCTACCACTGAACTGCACTCCTAGCTCTGTTCTCATTTTTATATCTTTTAAGAAGTATAGTATTTCTATAACAATTGTGCTGTGTACCCCCACAGTGAGAGATGATAATTGCCCCAAGTGAATTCGCAAGGATGATGTCTAAGTATACATGTGATTGGTGGGAATATTGACGTCCACATTGATTCCTGTGATTTCTTTATACCTTTAAGTTTGGTTTTGCTCTGTTATCACTCTTCAGTGTCATTCAGTTATTTTAATGAGATTGCATTCAAATGTCTTTCAAGGCTTCATTAAAGACAAAAGTACTACAAAGTGAACCATTGCAAATGCTATTTTTAAGATCCTTTGAGATGAAGTGGTTATTATTTAGAATGTGACAATTCAAAACCCTTCACAATGACCATGTGCTTTGTTAAATTTTTAAGGCCTTTGCTGTAGTACAGTTGAAGAATTAGTTGCTTGTGTGTTAAATGCATGCCATCTAATAATTATCTCAAAGGAGAATGGTTTTATTTAGTTTAAACTTAATCTAAAGAAAAAATCTGTTGTGTTAATTTGCAGTGAGACTTTATTAAAGTGGATATTTTGGAATTTGGTTCAATTCCCTCCACAACTAGTTAGTTTTGATTTGTATGTCAAAATTGAACATATTGGCAGGTCATTATGTATAAGTTTTTACATAGAATTGGAGTAAACTTACATTTTCACTTAAACCTTTTTTTGAACAGTGTTTCTTGTACCAGTTATTATATTTTTTGAATGTTAATTTACCAACCTCTTTTTAAAAGTGACAGAAAAAAAGGCCATAGCATTATCACATTTCTATATTTGTGTTCCCTAAACCATATGGTGATTTCTAATTAGAATACAAAAGACTGTGTGATGAGACTGACTTCACAGTAGCTATGATGATGGGTGCTACAGAAACAGGGTTCTCTGGAATTTCCAACAAGGACACTTTTGAGAAAAACTGTAGTTTATAACTGTCTTTGTACGAAAAGTCTCATAAAGTTATTGATGTGCAGATCAAGTTGGTATTTTGAAGCTAGTAATTTAATTCTAGATATTTGATCCTCTCAGTCAGCAGCTTGACTTGATTTTTCTTTTTTTTTTTTTTTAAACAGCTTCAATATTTAATTTCCCATGTACTCTCTCAGTAGAGATTTCAAAGGATACTTTGCTGGATGCTTGACTGCCTTGTCTATTTGCTCTTGTTTTGCATGCAAGAGAGAGCCAGAAGCTTTCTTCTCATTGTGTACACATAGTATTAATGGATTTACTCTGCCTGTATCATCTCATTACTGGAAACAGCTAGAAGCACAGAAGTCTTTCAGTGTATGCAAATAAGGCAGAATCATCTACCTGAGAGTTAATATTCTCTGCTTTTAAGTATGTTCTAAATCTAGTGTTTGTATTTAGAACATAACATCCTGTTCTCCTTTTTTATGGGCAAAAAGCTAAGCAGGCTCAGGCAGCTGTTTGATGTTGGCTTCAAGTGTTATTAATTTCATATTCTATTATTCTTTTCACTGTAGCACAAGTGAAGCTGATGTGGAGGCTGTCATGGATAAGTTGTTTGATGAGCTGGCTCAGAAACAAAATGATTGTACGTAAGTTAATTTCTCTTGAAAGAGAATACATTTAGAACACAATGCCCAATCTCCACTGACCAATTAATAAGTTCCATTGCTGTATATGGGTTGATGCCACGCTCAAGTGGCAGTCATTGTATCAGCATTTTGTCTAATTTATGTGTTGAATCATGTGCTATTATTCATCAAGCTATGCATTTCCTATCTGTAAGAGATGAATTTTATAGTAATTATCCAGACAAGATTGAGTCTTTGTTCATGTTCCCATAGTAACTAGACCAAGGATTCTAAAAGTGCAAGGCAGAGAGCTGCGGCTGAATAAAGCCTGTGGAACCATTGCCGACTGCACATTTGAAGAGCTGTGTGAGAGAGTAAGTACCCAGGCACGTCGGGACTCATTGGCCTTTTCAGATGTTAAAATACTTCATGTTTCCTTCTCTGCCCATTTCAAATTTTAAAATACTATTCAGAGTCAGAACTGATTTAAAAGTCTCATTAAGGGAAATACTCATCTATATTTGCCGTGTGCTTTTTATAGATATTGGCACAAAGTGTGCTCTTAGTTGGGCCCTGAAGCAAAATTAGAAATGCGGAGAGAGCTGTCAACTGTTGCTGGCAGCAAAAATAAAATCATCTCTCGAGGTAGTTTATAGAATCAAACAAAAGGGATTTTAAAAAATTAGAGATGAGGTTAAGTCTTGGGCAGAAGGAAGTTACAGTAAAGTTACGGTTAGCCAAGAGTGCACAACGTAAGGAATCCCCATTCTTGGGCCTCACTGTCCATCCATGGCCGCATAAGATCTTGCCTGGTCGGGCCAGGGGCAAAGAATACATTTCCACAACTCTATGATCTATACTGGATCATAAGAAATTTGTGCAACAGATAAATATGTGCACATACATACATTCATATAACTAAAAAAACTATAGTTACAGATTCATTATAGATAGGAATTCTAGCTTTCAAAGTTCTGGAATCTCAGTATGCGCTGGATACTTAGTATATTTACTGATTATAAATTTTCTTGAACTAATGAAGTTTATTGATACATTTTAGGGATTATAATTTATTAGTCTAGGTTGGCCTTGAAGTTACAATGTAACGTAGGCTGGCTCCAAATTCAAGCTGATCCTCTTGCCTCAGTCTCCTGAGGATTATAGTCAAGGGATGAATTATGGGCATGCTGGGATTAATGCTCATGAGCTGCCACACCTCACACCTGACTTGATTGTAATTATGGAGAGAAATCCAAATTAGAGATAACTTTATGCCTAATTCCTCCATTAACATATATAATCATCCAAACTCTGATTTGTCTTGACTTTTAAGTAGCTAAAGAGAGTTTACAATATAGAGGAAGAAAGGATTTTGTTTATACCATTTTGTGAGTACTTTTCTTAAAAACTAATTACTTAATTATTTCTGGCCAAAGTAAATCAGTTGCTTTTTATACTAGAGAAATGAATTCAGTCAGTAGTTCTTTAGCACTTCAGAACCCATAGATTTAGGCTCAGGCAGGATCCTGTGATTGGGTGGAAATGCCAGTGGTCTTAGTGATCCTATTCTGGTTAATATGGGTCCTCCAGATTTCCTAGGGGTCAAGTGCATTAAGGTCATAATAATCTATCATCTCCAGATGAATTCTGTTAAGGCTTGTCTTAGGTTTCACTTGCTTTACTGAAGGAAAATCTTGTGTACATAGAAGATGAAGTCTTCCCCGCAGAAGGGCACCCGGTGAGGATGAGAAAGGGCTGGACCCTGGTCCCTTGCGGGGAGGAGGCAAGAGGGTGCTTATGGAGCAGGTGTTGAGCATCCATCTGTATTTTTTCATATGCTTATTATTTCAAGGGACTTGAAAAGGTACAGGAAAAGGCCAGTTAGAGAGCCAGATCTTCGTAGTTTATTTGAGGATGATGGGAATATCATCTTTAAAATGAAACTATTTATAAAAATGAATCACTTGTATGCCCTTTGGCAAAAATATAGATTATAATAGCTATGAACTAAACTCTTAGGGATAAACAATGAACAAATTTCTATTTTTGGTCTAACTTTCTTGTGAAAATTTTTAGATGACAAGCTGTTCTATCTTTCATGATTTGGTTATTCAGTCACATAGGAAATCATTTTTCTAAAAACATTTAAGGATTTCATCCATTTTCTTGATATCCTCTTTTACATCATGTTATTCCAGTTGTTTTCTTTGGAGGTTTTTGTGTTGGTGTTGAGTTTTTCTTCTTCAAGTTGGGCAGTGACTTTTCATGGATAAATTTTCCCTTTATCTGCATGATAATTGTGAGATATTTACTGTATCAAATGAGCTCCAAGAGATCAACAGAAAACATTGACCCAAAGGAGAAGGTTGGTTCCTACAATTAGGCTGCAAGGGGGTATTTAAGGAAAGGCTGAATTTTTAAGTGGTCAGTTCATTTGTGACTGTTTTCTTGTTAGCATGATTTTGCATTTCTTTGCAGTCTTATAATTGTAGTACTTCAGATATTGAATACTTGCATGAAGAGGACCCTTGAAATCATTCAATTTCAGATGTAGCCTAAACCTCTTAATTAGTTATAATGATCTCAGAAGCAGGCTACATAGTTGCCAAAAAGTGTTCAGTAAAGAGAAAACCAAGGTAAAGGAGCAGGTGTCCAGTGCATCCCAGACTGTCCCAGCTTTGGATCACCTCAGCTAGTTTTCTGGGAGTCTCTGGAAGCCTGAGACCCAACCAACAGCTACTACTCACATCAACTTGAAAAACAGCTTTGGCAAAGGGTGAATGGGTTGACAGTCTATAATGGCTGTTTTTGAATCTTAACCTTTTCCAAGGAAAGAATAATATATTTATAAATTTTGAAATGTATTAAGTAGAACCTTAACTGTTAGTGTCTTAATAAGATAAAAGGAGGTTTCAACCAGAAGTCCTAAGCCAAAAACCACACCAGGGGCATCTCTTCCCTTGCTGCTCCAAACAGTATCTCAGATCTGCAGCCCTGCAGGCTGATGTCTAGCTTTCAGTATCACTCAGATTGCCTTTCTTTGCAGTTCAGCTCTGTCATCCTCAGTGGAGCAGCCTTGGTTACGAGACCCCGTAGCAGCCACGTAACTAACATAGCAGCCTAATCACTAACAGTGCCACATGTCAGGCATCATTCTAAGCCCTTTTTATTTATTAGTTTATTTAAGACCTATATAATACGCACTATTGCTATCCTTATTTGATCAATTGAGAAATTTGATTCCTTGGTAGTTTTGGGTTACAGCTGCTGTGTTTAATACTTATATCATGTCTAAAAATGTGTGCACAAGTTTTGCCCAAATCATTAATATAATTCAAATTGCACCATGAAGTCTAGTAAAATACTTTGTTAATTTTTGCATCTGAGCTAAACTTTTTTTTTTAAGGTTTTAATTTTTTTTTTTTTTTTAATTTGTGCATGGTCTCACTATGCAGCTTGGACTTGTAGTGATCCTCCTGATTTCTGCCTCCCTCATGTTGGAATTATAGGTGTTTGCCATCACACCTGGACTCCATTACTGCTTCAGCATGCCCAGGGGTGGAGCTGGTGCAGCATGTGGTGCCAAGGATCAAACCCTGATCCCTGCCCTTGCCAAAGCAAGTACTTAGTCTGCTGAACTATATTGCCAGCCCTTAAACTTTGATATTTTTATAGGACATGAAATTGTCCTATAAATTTGGAGAAGGGTTACCTCTCTGCTGAGGGTTAGGCCAGAACCATCCAGCTCAGTCTTGGCATTCCTGTGAACAATTGGTGTGGCACCCGACCTGTGTCCTCCTGAAGGCTTGCACCACCAACTGTCTGGGGGTATCAAGCCTTACTCTTTCATAAAAACATTGATTTTTTTTCCTCCCTGCCAGCAAAAGGTAGGGAAGTGCTCCTGCAGAGAACTGTGGGAAGGTAGACAGTGTACTTGGGTGGTCTTTGCTCTCCCCTACTCCTTCCGTATCAGAGATGTGGCCAAAGGAAATACAGCCAGTTCATCTCTGTGGGCAGGCCAGAGGCTTCCATGCTTCCTTGCCTAACCCTGATCTTGACACTGCAACTTATAATCAGAGGGGAGTGGTCAGAGTTAGGGTACTTAATTAGTAGTTCATAAAGTGTGGTTCATTGGCCGCCTAGTTTCAGGGGTGCTAGAAGTCTCTCTTTTTTTTTAACCTTTTATTTATTTATTTATTACATATTTAGTACAGGGTCTCACTGCACAGCTTGGACTTGTAGTGATCCTCCTGTCTCAGCCTCCCCAGCTCTGGGATTACAGGCATGTACCACCACTCCTGGTTTCAGAAGCCAGCTTGGCATGGGCCCTGCACGACATGGGGTACTGGGGATCAAACTCTGGTCCTTGTGCTTGCCAAGCAGGTGCTTAGACTGCTGAGCTATTACCCCAGCCTAGAGGTCTAAGCTCTTTATGCAGACATTTCTTCCTTCTCACTGGGCTGGCCTGTATGGTAGTGAGGCAAAAGAAACCATGAGTGATCATTTTCCCTTCCCGCTCCATCTCTTATTCCCCTTCCCATTTGAGAAAGATCTCCCTACTTCCTATTATCTATTCTTTTTCCATTTATTTTCAGATGGAAAGAGGATGAAGAGTTGAAGGGAGCAGGGAAGGATAGTAAGGGAAGGAGACAAAAAAGACTCAGATGTATTAATGTGCACACACCGACTCCCCACAGTAGTTGCATCACTTTACGCAGCAGCATAGGAGAAAAATAACTTCTACAGAGTTGAAAATGAAAAGATACCATGGTAAAACTGCTCAACAAAGTCTGTGTCAAAACAGTGGCACCCAAGCCCATTCTGTGTCAAATTCTTCATTGCCAAGCACTCATAGTCAAGACCAACAGCAGCAAAACCACAAAAAAACAGTTCCCCTTGTGTTCTTGAGAAAGCAGTAAAAATTAGAAATTTTGTTTCATTTCAACCTTGCAGACTTGTCCTCATGACATTCTTCACAAAGCACGCATGGTGAAACACCCCTACTGTGCGCATATATAGTTGTCTTGAGGGAAGCACTCTGTAAAGTGGAGAGCAGTTGTCTGAGGTGCAAGGTGAACGCTCTGGGTTTTTTCCCCACAGAATACCGTTTTTTATTTGAAAGACTGATGACAAACAAGCTGTGGTTATTCAGACTCAGCAGACGTTTTCTCAGTGTTTGACAGACATTTTCTTGAAAATGAATGAAGATTGTCATTGTAAGTAAAACAACTGACAGTATTTGTTATTAGTGATCAAATTTGAGAAAACAAGTAGAAATTAAACTTCTGTAAAACTTGTTTCTGCCATCATGAATTTGACAGTTTCCTAATTCTTAAACATTTCTTTCTGATGAGGTTGATGGTGATAATTAACA